TTTGTTCTTCGCTTGTTTATATTTTTCCACTACAGTCCTTTCGGCGGAGATGGTTACGCGTACAGTATCATTGGTTCAGTATACAAACCCAAGTCCACCGTTGACTTGGAAAATGACCTATAAACTCGCGACACACGCGCCGCGGCCACGATTAATTCAACAAACACWGCACGAACATATATGACGTATGATATGGTATTATTATATTATGAGTTTATGATGTATATGTTATTATGYGATKGAAAATCGTGAATAGTACCTACGTCACGGGGGGTTAATTCCCTGGCGGTTTTCGATCAGCCTGGCCACCGACAATCGAACGGAACATCATCAATAACTGACTGTATCGGAAACGGTATTGGTTATATGCAATACAAATATTTTGACATACATTATTATTATTTAACTGGTGTTTTATTTTATGCATTTTAACGTGTCTTCACTCTGCAGTGATCGAGCGCTTGAGCAAACGTATACGAATCCACTGTTTGACGCACGAACAAAAAACGAGAAAAAAAACTTCAATCGATCCCGCGGAGCTCTGATTAAATTTGAATGGCTTGCAAAGTAGAATTATTATCAGTGTTGGCAATATCAGTTATTTAGTGGCAACAGCTCCAAGTTCGTGGACTTGACGTCGTATATCTACGTTGATTAGATTCAATGAGTTACGAAATGTTACTATATTATAAGTACCTAATACCTACATTGTGAATATTTCATTTTGTGGTTAATTAAATTTCTTTGGTAATTGTAGTTTTTATTAATAATAGTAGTGTACATATACATCAATTTATGATCTTATCTTTAGGTATTAGGTACGGTGTTATTAAATAGTATATTGTAATATACTATACGGATTTTCAAACACGTGTGCATACATTGTGGTTAATCGTTACAGCGATAACCTTATAATATTTTAATTTCTGTTTGTGAACACTAAGCACAATAGTATATCAGTTTACTCTTGTTAAAATCAAAACCGTTTCTGACTAAAAAATATTCGACTTTACACCATATTATGTATACCACCTATATGTATCTGACCTCGTCGATAAAARTGGGTAGGTATGGATTATATGGGTGTACATTTAGCATTGCAACCGCAAAATGTCGGTGTTATATACATTAATGATTATAAAAATAATAATTAAATCAATTAGCAAAGTAATTTTTAACTTACTTGCAAATACGAACTGCAGTACGCTAGTACGACTTTGTGGGCTCTTAATTTGTATCCGTCGGCGCAGCATATAACAACGTCTGCGAAATGTTCAGAGTTCATCATTTGTTGTAAACTGAACATCAGTCTGTTTTCATGATTATCATACTTGGCGTCTCCCATCTGGAAAATTTAAATTAMATAGAAGAGGTGTACTTTACAAATAATACAGATGAATAATTATAATTAAAACAAATTATTTTCATTAAAATTAATTGACACTACATTAATTTTTTTGCAGATATAGAACAATTTGTTATTATATTTATAATTATCAAACAAAGACATTAAATGCAGCAATAACGATTAAAACTTGGTGTACAAATAATAATAAATGAATTGGTATATTAAAATGCAAAATAGTTTACTAATTTTTAATTGTAAAATGGAAAGAATTTCAATTCTCAATTTTTGGCAAAGACTAAGGATATTAAATAACCTTATCGTTTTGTCATCATTATATTTTGCAGTAATAAAATAGTATTTAATCAATTGATTATTTAAGCAATGGGTCAAACGAATGTCAAAATTAAGATTTATATTATGAGTGGTCTAACGGTATAATTACGATTAATAGTTTTTCAAATAATTGGTATATATACTTTAATTTGAAGCTAAAAGCAATGCAGACGAAATGGTTACATTATATGAATAATGTTTTTGAACAAAAATATGGATGAATCAAGTGTACTCATGTTTATAAAAAATTTATGTTTTAAAAAATAACTTGTGATTTCAAATTTATAACACGTAATTTGTGGGTACCCGTGTACCTCTAATCGGCATCACTAGAAATGAAAATAAATTACCATGTAATCACGATTAAATTATATACCATACAGTTGCATACACCTAAATTATCATGAATCAGTAAAATATGAGTTACGTTAGTAAGTGCACGAGTGTATTGAACAATGACTATAATTCACAGCAATAACAACAAGGGCACGTATATAATTAAGTATTCCTACTTGTCCTTTTAATAATAGATAACATTACTAGAATCATAATATAGGCCTAAATCCGTAAATTATTATAAGTTTATGCATTTAGCATACAAGTTATATAAATATGTTGACTGCACTTTGAAAATAATACGAGAGAAAATTTAATTTAAACTCCTATAGATTAATAGTTGGAGAATATTATGTATGTTGAGTAATTTAAATATTAACCACAACAAAGGTACGATATCATCAGAGTGATTTTAATTAAAGACGAGTAGTTTAAACACGGACGTTGTTTGTGCTCTGTTAAATGTGCACAAACGACAAAAGAGGAAATAAATGCTGACGCAATGCGTTTTCGGAGAAATAGAAATAGGTAGGTATAGCATTACAWTTAACCGGAAGAATAACGTTTCGATCGATTTTTAACAATTCGTTTAATTATGTGATAGGTAATTATTCCATGGTGTATCTTATGCAACAACATAAATAATAATGATACATTTTTAAAAGTCAGTCAGAAAAAAACACCAGGTKTTATCGAGTTCTGGGAGTACTATAGCGACCGGAGAATGATGATGTACCTACACATTGACGTGGATAACGCTAAATATGATAATTAATAATAATAATATATTTAATACTTATATTATAATGATGTGGAAACACACAGAATTTAAAGGCGCCCCTCTCAGGGGTGATTGAGAAAATTTTTAATTAATCACTGTAAATTGTAACTAAATGCTGAACGCATATGCGATCAGGAATATACTAAGTATGAGCGACCCGAAATCCGAACGCTGATTTTAGCCAGAAGCAACAATTATTATGTTTTGCCTTCTCATGCAGTAAAATCCATTAGTCGTTTTGGAATCAATTTCGTATTATTTCTGCGAGATATTTGTATCATAATTCACAGTGAGCTTTGAAGTACAACGACGGAAAATCAAGAACGAAAAATGTATTTAAGATCATTTAGCAAATATTAGATCATAAATCCATAAGCAATCTGATTTAAGAATTTTTTTTAAGAAATTAATTTAAGAAATTTAAGATTTAAGAAATTCATTTAAAGTGGTTAAAAATATTACTGATAGAAATATCAGGTATAATCTTGAATTTCAATATATGCAATACGGATAATCTAAGGATTCACAATAAATCAAAGTGTGACGAATAGGCACCAATAATCGTGTCAAAAGATGACGATGTGAAAGAAAAATACGAGAGTTATTAAGCGACATGAGCAGGGTCTAAGCCCGTTAGTGTTATTACAAATATGTAATAATTCATTTAATAATGAAAATATTACAAATTACAAGTAAATGAATATAGTTGTATAAAATTATTCCAAATCATCAAATAAAAAGATTGTTTAGAATTATTTATGTTTTACATAAGGCGATGAAAAAAAATATTATAAATTAAGATGCTCATGTTTAGTGCTTACTAAATTTGAAATTTATTGGGACAGGAATTATAAAACCATCAATTATTTCACGTTGAATAATCAAATATCATTATTTTGTATATTGTTTATTAATTTAATTTAGATTATAGCAAAACTTTTAAATACATTTWTCTTGATGTTTTAAAMATTGGAAACGTGCTTATTACCTAATATGCTATTTTACAACGTGTCACTAGTACAATAGTACATTTTGTTTCTTTCATTTTATGCCTTAGTTGATAAATATTTGGTAGTTCAATATTTATTATTATTAAATGTGTAGTTATAACACCCAATCATTAATATTTATAGCKCGTAGAAATAGTAAATGCATATTTTGTTATTGGTAAACTTAATTTCTTTACRATGTAATTATCATAAATAATGTGAACACTAAAAAAATTAACTCGCATCAAGGTATATGTAAAAATTAGAAATTAATTGATGTAAGAGTAATTTACTGGAATTTGTTTCTTATTTCAATGGTATACATATAATATGTCTATTTGTCGATACTATTCCACTATGATAGAATTATATATCTATTTATTTCATTGCCATAACTGGTTAAAACTGTTTTTCTGAAGGATATGCTGCATATTTGTGCATCGATAAAAAAAGTTTTTTTTTTCAAACAAAATAGATTGGAACAATTTTAATATACAAAAATTGAAGGTATAACTTTTATATTTTTTAATCGTTCAATTACCTCATATATATGCATCTAGTGATTGAAAATTCCACGAAGTACATATTAATGAAATATTTAAATTTTTTTTAAACCTTGGCATGCATATTGAATTGGCTTTATGAGCAACGAAAGCACTYGTTTCCATCGTAACCCATGTACCAAAAACATTTTTTAAATTAAAATGATGTGCAGGGTACCTATAAAGAAAAAAWTTAAATTTTTCTATTGTATTGTAAATAATGGTATAATTATTGCATTTTAATTTTAAGTTTTAAAAAATGATATCTACAATTAAGTTTTTAAACTTTGGTAATTGCATTGGGGTATATTAATATTTATTTTCATGTTTTTATTCATTTGTGTATAAGAAATTAAAATACAAATTGTATTAAATTGTTTTTAAAACTCGCACAGACTTTACATAGAATTTTAGTAAATAAATTAACTAAACTATTTGCTTTTATTTATGTTTATATGCTGTATGTATTATAAAATATGAAAGAATACCTAAGTATAAGAATATCAACTGAAATGTGTGTGTACAAACTTTATCATATTCTTAAAACTATTCCAATGATAAATTATTATTTATTTACATTTTTATTGTTTAATTAATATAATGAAATCGAGATTTTCATTTGATCGCATATGAGTAGTTCTGGTGGTTAAAACTACCCTTTTATCTATTTGAAACACTTAGGTACTTTCTTCATTATTAATATACCTACGTAATATACAGCTTAAACATTTAAACAGTTCAAGCTTAATGGTAGGTAATACTCGTAGTGTTCACCTTATTGATTATGCTTATATATACATATACAATATACATACATAATGCAAATATATTACACCACAGTATATAATAAAAATATAAGTTTTTTTTATCACTTATTTTCTTAGTTAATTTTGAATGCAAATTGTTTTAAATAATTAAAATACATTTTTATAATTTGAGATGATTTCTTAAGTATTACCATCGAATATATAGATGATATAAGCCGAAAATATYACATAATCAATAGTACTATACCTAACTTTTGCGTTTTAAATGAATATACTAATATTTTATAATAATAAGACTAATAATAATAAGAGTGTGTACTTATCGGACACACGAATAGAAAATTATAATGCATAATTCTTTCAGACAAAGAAATCCCAATGAATCTCTGTCTATCTCAAGTCTCTCAACACCATAATAAATAACAATATAATAGTATTGCGTTCTAAATAACTGCAGTCTGCATTATAATATTACGTATTATGCGTATAGGTGTGTAATAATATTAAAATGGTATATATATCTTTCTTTTTACGATTACTTGTTATGGGACACACGCGAACCGTTTGGTAGAAAAACCGGTCCAATAGCGCTATTATCGGTTGCACGTTAATGCAATTAACACAAACAACAGCGCCGCACTAAACGCACAAGTTCTGTATACACGCGAAACGGGAAGAGAAAAATTCAATCATAGTTGTTTATTTTTACCTCATATTCTACCGGTCAACTTTCTAAACTTCTGGAGGAATGACTTGTTTCGAAAACTGTTWAAAAAAAAAAATTGCAAATCTTTGCGATTGGCTATTTCCTAGTCAAAGTGCGTAACGACAGTTTCATTTCTCGTCGACTTCTTTGTCTTTGCAATCTGTCATGGATTTCCACACCCCAAATAAATACCTATAAACCAATAATATGCTAATCCACACGTGGATATCCGTTCCATTTGTTTYGATCCGATAAATATTTTATTTCRCGGTTGTCCRGCAACAAGATGATGTTGGGTTCCTAATTATATTATTTTAGTACGTGACAGATTAAAATCTTAACGTTTCAGAATTTTATCTGTATATCCGATTATGTCCTCTTATCGGAATTTTGGACAAGCTAAATTTGAAAGAGTTATTTTCAATTTCTATTTWAAAAAATGGAATAGKTGTATAAGGTGTATACTGTGTATAGGTATAATAAATCAAAAGTAATAATCAACAAAAATAGAGTGTTAAAATATATTTTTGTGTATAAAAATGT